GCCTGACAGCAGCAGTGCCTGGTACACCTGCCCTCCAACTTTGAGTGCATGCATTATTCAGCATCGCTACAGCTCTGCGTGCCACCGGTGTTGTCGTCTAAAACTGCGGGCATCCATGTGCCGTAATCAAAGCAGGCCAGTGAGCAGCTTGTCTCGCTGCGATATCCTGCAGTTTCTACATGATAGTTTTGGAGAGACTAGGAGGAGGAGGGGGTGGCTCTAGTTTACAGATTCACCTTCATTTTTGTGGTTTAGGTACTATAACTGCCACTGGTAGTTGTTTTAAAGTGCAACTTTAATAGTCTAAATAATAATAACAAAATAAAATAAACTTGATAACTTATTTTTATACTTATTTTCTTTCCTATTATTTCACTACTAATAGTAATAAATAAATACAAATAATCACTGTAAATAATCACTATAAATAATGTTACATCATTTAAATATTTAGAAATCATATACAATGTTGACTGTTCTGAACTCTCTAGAAAATTGTGAAATAATGCATCCCTCTGAGTTCTTGTCAGCATGGAGTTATACATAATATTCACTAAATTTATGTCCATCATTAAAAACATTTGTCAACTGAAACAAATGAACAAATGCTATTTTAATTTGTTTTAAATTAAGTTTTAATGAACCATTTACAAATACCCAATCTTTAAATGGTTCCTCTACTTCAAAAAGAAAGGAAATAGGATCTGCAACTAATTATATTATAGTGTGCGTGTTCTTATGGCTTATGAGGACACAAATGTGTATAATGACATGGGTATTGCAACATAAACATGGTTTGAGGACACTTCCTTTGTCCTAGTAAACCAAATGGCTTTAAAAAAACAAAATAAACCAGTGTTTTTTTTTTTTTTTTTTTTTTAACTGCCAAAAGCTTTGAGGGGGATAGAATATACAGTTTGTACAGTATAAAAACCATTACAGCCTATAGTCCCCGCAAACCACATATACATACGAGTGTGTGTGTGTGTGTTTCTATATATAAGGTGTTACTAATCAGGCACTGCAGTCTTGAGTTTGGGTGTCACCAATGTTCTCAGGTGGTCTTTCGAGGGGTAGATAACAGACGTAATCTCTCTCTCATCTGGCTCTCACTGCTGGGCTCTTTTCTTTGGAGCCACACTGACATTGCAGGAAAAAGTGGTTTTCCTTGCTATTTATAGAATACATTATCAGGAGACATCAGCTGTGGGTTAAAAGGGCCAAAAGCATCTATTTAAGAAATACCAAACTGTGTACCCAGTGATTTCTCACTCCCCGGGAATACTTTCTAAGTAGTATATTTTGCCATATTTGACTGCAAACTATGTGCCAGCGCAGTGGGAGAAACCGGGGAAAACGCATGCAAATTTATCATGCAACATCCAACAGCAAAGATTATATGACAGAAGCAGCAGAGGATCGTCAGATCTATAGGTTTCACATTGCATATAAAGCCAAATTGTGTTTCAAGAAATGGGAAATTTAGTGCAGAGGAAAACAGCTGATGCTGTATGGGGGGGGGGGATGGCAGCAAGATGTATCTCAATGGTCAAAACATCTGCAAACTGATTGCTGTGGACTGTCAGCTATAATAGGCTTATGTTCTATGATATGGGATGGGGGGGGGGGGGATCAAACAAAAAAACTTTCAATTTTAAAACCACTTTATTCAATGTTTTACTAATCTGTCACAATAAATAGAATATTGATCTTATTTGAATGTACTTTAATGATCTGTTCAACTGATCAGTTCAAACATCTACTCTGTTTAATGAGCTATACAACATGGAAACAAACTTGATTGAAATGTAACAACCTCCTCAACCTCTGAAATGACTTTCCTTCGCAGCGGATGTCACAAAGCCCAATTTTTTTAACCCCACTATTCACAATCCACTCACTTTTCTCAACAAGTACTCACAAGTAACATCCTCAGTATAAACATTTGAGGTCTTTTTAAATGAACACCAATGCTGCATTTATTTGATCCAAATACAGTAAAAACAGTAATATTGTGAAATATAAATTGAAAAAATAACTGTTTACTATTTATATATGTATATATATATATATATATATATATATATATATATATACACATACAAAAGTTGAATCTTAAGCAGCCATTTATCCCGTCTTCAGTGTCACATGATCCTTCAGAAATCATTCGGATTTGGTGCTCAAGAAAAATGTACTATTATTATTATCAAGGTTGAAACTGTTGTGCTGCTTAATATTTTTGAGAAAACCGTGATACAAGATTCTTTGATTAAAGGGATAGTTCACCCCAAAAATTCTGTCATCATTTTTGACTTCCATAGTATTTTTTCCCTCCATACTATGGAAGTCAGTCATTTGTTCTGTTACCCATATTCTTCAAAATATCCTTTGTGTTCAGCATAAGAAAGAAATTCATACTGGTTTGGAACAACATGTGGGTGAGTAAATGATGGCATAATTTTCATTTTTGGTTGAACTATCTCTTTAAAAAAAAGTTCAAATAAACAGCATTTATTTGAAATAAAACTATTTTCTCACTTCTGATCAATTTAATGCATCCTTGCTTATAATACTTGCTTATAATGCTTAATAAAAGTATTAATTTCTTTGCAAATAAAGAAAAAAGTACTGTCCCCAAACTTTTGAATGGAAGTCTAGGCCACATTCATGCTGACAAGATTATTATAAAGCACAAAAAGTAAAACTGTCTAGTAATAATCATTACGTCACACAAAAGTGAGTAGTGATTTAATTGCTGAGATGGAAAGCACTTGGTAGGCATAAAGAGCAGGTGGTCTGGTCTGCAGAGAGCAGAGGCATGGTTAACTGTGTGGAACGCCCCTCATTACATGAGTCACACGCTGTGGCCATTACAGAGCCGCAACACCTGGGAGCTCCCCCATTATCCCTTGCACTGTTCTCATGGAGCAATGAGACATGCTTGTCCTTCTGCAAATCATCTAGTGAGTGCTCCCCCAAAAACCATCCCCCTTCCCAGATTTTAGAGCTGAAATATGACAATGCGAATGCGCAAATGTAGTGATACCAAACTAGGAGCACATCTCATTCATCTCTAGTTCCCCAGAATTTGAATCATGAAAATGCACTATAGCCAGGACTTTGTTCAGCTAAACAATGAGACACAGATAATTCAATTACATGCAATATAATTTTGAGGTCATGTATTTAAATGTAGCTAGTACAGTCTGGTGCCATTTGTTTATTGTGCATTTTGTCATATATATTAAAAAGAACACTGAAAAAAGGCACAAAAAATGTTTTGAATAAATTCAAATCAGTTTGTTTCAATTAATCAATTAATAACTTTTATTCAACAAGGTATCTTATCACAAAAAAAAAAAACAGACTCACAGCAGAATGTATGGACTCCATAGCAGCTTTCATTGGCCAAGGACCGATAGGATTGATAGGTAAAGTAACCAATCACTGTTTGTTTTGTTCAGCATCATGTTTAGTGGCGTAAAAATGTAAAGTCGGTGTCCTTACAATAACACACCGGCATGTAAAACTCTTGGATGTCTTTTAAAGAGTCTATGCCGTGAACTTCACATATCCAGCAAGCATTTAGTTGATCCTGATAAGCGCTCATTGTCACAGTTGTAAACTTAATGGCTTTCTTCCATGAGGGGGTTTGGCGTTGCAGCGTCTTTGTTTCCAGGTGGACCGTTAAAGAACGCGACACACACGTCTCCTGGAAATACTGCAGAATTCAATTTTGTTTGCTTTATATATCAACGGTCTGTGGGCATGACATCTGAGACTAAGACTAGAAAATTGCATACTCAAAACTGATGTGTTCAATGGTAAAAAATCTCATTTTGAAAAATACTATGGTACTAAATGACTAGCATATTCACTTACTATGTATCTTTTGCAGTAATATGCAAATGCCAATGGCACATGTCCAAAATACTGTGGTATTACTATAGTACATGTGCAGAACAACAGAATAACCATAGTATCATGTCCAAAAAGCATGGTACTGTAGTATCACAGAAGATCAAACGCCCACAAAACAATTATTTTTAGGTGTACACTATTTAAAAGACTTTTAAACCTGTTCGTTTGTACAACTGTCCACAATGCAGTAAAACATTAAATGAGAAAAATCTAGGCAAGAATGATCCGAAACAACCTACGACCAGTGAGCTGAATCACCTAGTGAGAGAATAATTAGAAGCCAAATCTCTCCTCTATATTAAATCAGGGGCCTGCATTAATTCTAATCAGCGTGTGTAGCCAGGCTTGACTGCGGGCCCCGAGGGGGAAGGAAAACGGCACCCTATCCTCCGTACCCGGGCCTGGCAGAGAGTGCATCTGCCTCGGACCCTGCACTTCAGGGTTCAGCGCTTCCCTCCAGCGACTGCCATCAGCGCTCAGACTCACACACACACAGGTGAGAGACTGCAACCTTTCCCTGCACCAGCTGTTTAACTGTACCTGACGGAGCTGTTCAAATGGCCTTTATACACAGGGGTGGATATGGCACAAGAATTATTGCCTGGCATTTGCAGCTATGATCCTATGAACAGCGAGCCAGATTGTTTAGGGTGTTTTTAATTTCAGTGTTTGAAAGTTTGATCAATGCATCAATAATGAGATTGCATGTTGGTTATTGACTTCAATGCTGTCATATTGGTTTGAGTAATGTGTTGTTTGGATGACATTTAATAAAATATGATTGCTTATTACACTACATGTAATTTGGGATTACATGATCACAGAAGCACGGCATAAAAAGACTAAAAATCGGTGTATGTGCAAGGACATCGCTAAAAATCATGGAGCCCGAGACAAAAAAAATATTATTTCACTATATACCCATACAACACAGTGGCTCCTGAAACAGTGTACAGGTTAAGATTGTTCAGGCCTTATCTGGATCTCTTTGTAGTAATAGTAAATTATGCAGTTCATAGAATTAGCACATACAGTATTTAGCGCACTTTCAAAGGCAAAAGCACAACATGAGATGCCCATTCATCTCTAGGAAAGTTTATTTACAACAGGACCACATCATTCCTTTCTTAAAATGAGGATATTCAAGAAAATATTTCCACGTCAGACCTGGACATACTCAAGGGGACCCAGACTTTCCAGTCTACACTTTCCTATCAAATGAAGCCCAAAAGAAATCAAATAAAATGTCCACACAGCAGATATTAATGATAACCCGTCACCACCAAGACAAAGAGTTTTACCTTTGATTTGACAGCCCAGTACTCCTCTGTCCCATACTGTACATCTCTGAGAGTGGTGAGGTAGTCATAACTGATGACAGCTGTCTGAAAACATTCATTCCACAGACAAAGATGAAAACTGTGAATAAAAACTGCACACTTGACAGAAGAAATATTGATTAAAAATACACTGTATTTGCACTTTTTTTAGTAATTCACTTACTGTGACTCAAACCCAAAAAGTAAATGTATTTAATATAAAATAAATATTTAACATGAAAGTAATATTTAGCCTGTTAACTGCCAGGCCCAGTTTACACCTGGCATTAAGATGAATTTTGATCTATCGGCAGTTTCACGGTAGCTTGGCATGCTTTTTTATTTGCCTTTTTCTCCATCACATATTTTAGTAATCACCATAAATTAGGTATCACATTCATCCTGTGAAACCATTTTGAAATTGAACATTGTGTTATCATGGAAACGGTACTTTAAAACCTATTAACAGGCTACATTTTTATGATATCAAATTGGAACATAACATGGTTAAACGTATGGCTTTGATTTTCAAGCAATTATTTTGTAAAATACTTTTTTTGTATAAAATATATATGTTTAAGTTCAGAATACATTTGACTTACAGTAAACAAACTTTATCACTTTTTTATGCTTTCAGTCTTCTTTGAAAAGAGACAATCTTTAAGTTTGTAGTATTCAGAATTATTAAAAGTTTAATGAATTAAAAGTGTGAAAAATATTTATTCGTGTTTACCGTTGCAGCTGCTCTCCCAAATCTGACAATGCTGAGATCATTGAAGTCCACATTTTTGCTGTACAGGTAAAATCCTGATGATGCGATCACTGCAGTGGCAACAGATGATACCTTCAGTAGCCGAACAGCCATGTGAGGAACTGCAAAAAGACAGAGAAACATTATCTATCACCATTAAGCAGCTATCCTTGTAGTAAGCGTACTCAAAACATCAGCAGATTTAAAAACAAACAGTAAATCCCACACAAATCAGTATTAGATTCTGATTAGAACAACTGATAAACTGATATTACATTTCTCATACTTTCTCATATGTGTGTCTTCCCAAACAGAGTTTGTAAATAACAAACATATCATTAATCAGATACTAATATAATTATAGAAATAATACATACTAATAAACATTGTTTGATTATTTACTTTGATGAAATTTGCTGCAGATAAACTTTGGGGGCGTGGCAGTTAAGATGTGACGTCATTGGTTTCTTCATGATCAACTTGGGCTCATCATTATGCTTTTTTTGGGAAATGCAGCCCTGGTTTACACAACTGAAACCAAATTGCGTTATTTATCAAATGTATAAATTAGTTAAACGAAACACCACAGCAGCACAGTTTAAGCAAACCATATCGAAGCAATAAACCACTTTCATTCATAATATCAGTCGGTGTATTGAAAGACGAGGTCAGCTGATCATAAATATTGCTTGTTATACAAGCGCTTGCGTAACAGAGAGAATATAACTAAATAACCGACACCGTTTTATCGCATGGTGTCAGAGTTAATAACTGTGATTATGTATTTTTAGAGAATCATAATACAGCAGATTGATTTACCTTCATTGACTCACGCTGTCATCCACTAACCGGTGTCGCTCTCTGACCTTTCAACTCTCGCGTCTCCGTTGACGTGCGTGGCGCAAAGCATTATGGTCATTGTAGTCTAGAAATATAAGCAGTCATTGGGTAATCAAAACGAAAAAAGAACCCCATCTTTGCCATTTGACAATTAAATAAACGTTAAATTAGATATTAAATATTATAAGCTATTGATCCATTTTAATGCATTTCTCAAGAAAATCTGAGAAGCCAAAACAGTTCTGATTTGATTTCTTACACAAATACATTATCGAATAAACCTTAATTTTAACATTTTCAGATAAGTACCATAACATTCAATTATGGATTGTAAGTAGATGCAAGTACAAAATGTAATAACCATAACCCATTTTTTTTCTATTAAGCAATATGATTGAGGCATTGAGCAGATGTTCACAGCAATAAAAATCATTCCAACCACATTCTTTTTACAGAGAGAACCTCAGTCAAAATATCTATTTTAAAATGTATTCCATAAACACATTATATACTCTTTTTCTTTGAGGTGAAGAGGACAAGGTAGTGATGGAGCGTGACCAGATTTAACATGACATGAGCTCGGACAGATAATGTGACCGGAACATTGGCAGAGGCATCTTAGATGCAGCCTTGATTAACCTCTAAATAAATTATCCACACTGATGAAATGTTTCATGCATCTGCATACCTCAAGTTATACATAAAACTCTCAAGTTATTACTCAACTGTTGCCATGTAAAAGTAATAAGGAATTAACTAAGTCAATGTTGCTCAAGCATCTCTAATTACAATATATTTTTAAGTATACATTCTAAAATTAAACTTGTGTGTGTGTATACACACACACACACACACACACACACATATATATATATATATTTATATATAGTATATTTGTGCTGTCAAATCTATTAATAGATTAATCACATCTAATATAAAAGTGTGTGGGTGTGTGTGTGTGTGTATATATATATATATATATATACACAGACGCGCACATATACACATATAATATATATATAATATATACACAGGTTCATTATATAAACAAAAATGTTAATGTTAGATGTGATTAATCGATTTGACAGCACTAATATATACAGGTATATACACACACATACATATATATATATATATATATATATATATATATATATATGTATGTGTGTGTATATACCTGTATATATTAGTACTGTCAAATATGTATGTGTGTATATACCTGTATATATTAGTGCTGTCAAATCGATTAATCACATCTAACATTAACATTTTTGTTTATATAATGAACCTGTGTATATATTATATATATATTATATGTGTATATGTGCGTATATATATATATATATACACACACACCCACACACTTTTATATTAGATGTGATTAATCTATTAATAGATTTGACAGCACAAATATAATATATATATATATATATATATATATATATATATATATATACACACACATATACATATATTAAACACAAACTTTTATGCAAAATGCGATTAATCGATTTGACAGTAATAATATATCTATTAAAAAAAATCGAGAATTTGCTTTTGATTTTTTGTAAAAGGCAAAATGCTAAAATCTATTCAGAATTATAATGGATAAAATAATACTAAATGACAAATAAAATAATAATAATTTGTAGCCAACACAACAATATAATTCAAAATATCCCAATTTATTTGACTCACATTTCTTTAAATTTCATTGGACATTTTATAAGAAAAAAAAAACACACTAGACAAGCAGTCAATACAACAATAATCAAAACTCATTAAAGTTTGGCTTCTTGAAAACAAGTATGCCAAGTGAAGACACATCCACAATAAATAGAGAGTTTTCTGTTACTGAAGACACAACACTTGAGACATGAAATCAGATCTCTTCAGACGTCCTCTGCTTCTTTGTTTGATTTTTTTCCAGAAAATGGCTTTCTGTTTTTTTGCACCTGGAGCTACATTAAAAGAAAATAGAAAATGACATTTTGATGCAGATGTTCAAACTACAACATTTACCAGAGAGACATCTAGGGCCGGTTCATCAAGTTCCCAACTAGACGCTCACCTTTGCTCCTTCGATGAAATGAGGATCCTTTTGTAATGCATTCTGCAGTCCTTCCTCTGAAGTGAACCCTATCCAGCAAAACCCCCGATGAAAACCTGTCTCTTTATCCTACAAAACAAGAGAAAACTCATCTCCGCATGACAGGCATATAAGAAAAATATGAAACACTACATTTTATTTGTATTCTTACAAATGGCAAGAGACACTTCTTCACTTGGCCAAACTGCGCAAAGTATTCTCTAATCTCCTCTGAAACATAACACAGAACAATAACATACATTAGACATATAAAGCATCACTGTATAGCCTAAGTTACTATTAGAGAGATACGTATGATGCGTTACGGATAATGACTGGCTCATTTAATGCATTCATACGCGTAATATTTACCAATTTGATGTAAAATCATTGATCAAATGGCATGCTTTACTCACTCGTTGCGATGGTCCATGGCACTTTTGACACAAATACTTCAAACACCTTCTTCCCAGTTGCTGTCGCTGCCATGTTTCGTCCTTGCCGAATGGAGCTTACGGTGACCCTGACCACGTGACCAGAAGAAAAAATATTTATTACCTTAAACTATACAATTTTTAAACGTAAAATATCGCTTTGCCATACCTTTAATGTTTGTGATTGTTATTTTATTTGAGTTGAGTAATAAAAAAAATCTAAATCAAATCGAAGCTTTGTTTCGTTGGCGTAAGAAATAGAAAGGTCACATGATGACGACAAAGATGGCAGCCTCCATAATGGAGCATGGAGAAGATGCTTTTAGAAAACTGTTCAAGATTTACAAGAGGAGAAATCCTCCTCCAGACTTCAGTGAGGTCATTAATTTCTCCAAACCTTGTAATGACAAGGTGAGCCATTCAGACTTGAGAAATATTGCGTGTTCATTAACATTATGACGCTATAAGTCTTTCCTAAACAGTTTGTTAATATTATTATAAATCAGTTATTAGAATATTTATGTTCTATATGCATTAACTAATCTATTAAACAATGTTTATTAAACCGAACCTTGTAATGACAATGACAAGATGTGCCATTCAGACTTGAGGAACATTGCCGTATTTATGTTTGATTATAAATCTTTCCTAAACCGGTGCATATTAATATTATTAGTATTACTATTAACCCGTTATAAGAACATTTGTATGATTTATGGTTTATTAAAAAAAATAACTTGGCTATGAACTATGTAAACTACAACTACTATTATTAACAGTGTACTTCATGCTTGCAGAACATGCACAACTTTTTTGTCATAGTAATTTGCTATGCCTTTGTACTTTCTTCAGTTTTGTGCTTCTAGTAATAGAAAATGGTCTCATTGTCTAGGTTTTTACCTGTGAACTTAACTCCACTCCTATAAGTGAGGAAGATGTTTCTAAAGCTGGTCTTCGGCCGGTAACAGACTGGAAAGCTTTTGGTTTGCATGGATATCCAGGTAAGGTTTAGATAATCTGGTGGCAGTTTTAAATAATTGCCATACTGTATGTTCTCCAGAATCTAAAGGATGTTATGGGTTTGATATAGTGACAGAAGCCTATCATTAAATTCATTTTATGTAAGACACGATTGTCAAAATCTCCTGCATTGCATTATCCCGTATTATAATATTTAATAATTTAGATATATATAATAATATTAATAATTATTATTATTATTATTGCCACTTTGACGCCATATATTCAAATAGGCCACTTTGAATATATGGTAGCCTATTAATAACCAAAGTGAACCAAAGACAGTCTCAAAAACACGGTTCGAATCGCTGGTGTTTCAGACGTCGCAAACTACCTTGTAACCAATCGTGTCAACGTGTGATCGTCAAAGAGTGGATCTCTGAGCTGGTGCGAGTGAGTGGAGGCAGGGACAATTTGCATATTCATAGAACCGCGTATACTAAATGAGGCAAGGGTGTAGATTTACATTAAATCTATTTTAAAGCATGAAGAAATTTTTTTCATGTTTACCTGTTTTCCTGTTTACTTTTAATGAGATTAAATTAACTATATCGTCACTGTTGGAACGTAGGGTTTATCTTTATATCCAACCCATTCCTGCCGGGTTCTCAGCAGTACTGGGTAAAGCAGTGTTTGAAGATCTATCCACAGAAGCCCAGCGTGTGTAACCTGGATATGCATATGTCATCTGTGGAGACTGAAAACATCTGGGAAAGAAGCATAGATGTTATTCGGTAAGTCAAAGATCCTGACGTGCATTGGCAGCTTAGTAGAATCTTATTTTAGTGTATATTATTTTGGTGCATTTAGACTTTTTTTTTTTTAGAATAAAACAAATGCTATATTAATATATTTTGAAGGATATGTGGCAATTATTTGAGTATAGATATAATATAGGTGTGCTGGCTAACTCCACCTTCTGATACTGAGTATGTAGCATCCACATAGATGCTTTCCTTGTGGCTAGGTCTGTTCTGGTAATTTTATTGTGACCTAGATGGTAGATTTGAGGTATTGCAGTTTGTTAGGCCCCCTTTATCACACAACATTTGTGTGAATGGTTTGTGCTACTGCACCGCACCTAATCTATCTCACACTCTTCCTTATCTAAACGGGTCTGTGTATTATTGCAGGAGGAAAGGCTGTGGGAAAAGAGAGGCCAAAACTCTGCTAGAAAAACTGCGCTGGGTGACTCTTGGTTACCACTATGATTGGAACTCCAAGGTACTACGGTCACTCTCTAATGTACTTTATGTGTGCTTTAGCAGTGTGTCTAACACAAAATGTTATTATAATGCTGGAGCCGCTACCCTCGTGGGCAGCGCTCCAACATTTAGTACAGTTGCTCTTCAGGCGACCCAAGTTCGAGTCCCGAATTGTGGCCCCTTTCCGATCCCACCCCACTCTTCCACTTTGCTTCCTGTCTACTCTATACCAGTGTTATTCAAATGGCGGACTGCGGGACATAATTGCGCCATTTTTCTACAGATTAAAGTGAGTA